TATATATATATATATAGATTCAAACAATGTTGAAAGTGAGACAAAAAGATAAAATTGCAGATAAGAAATTTCAAAAGTTAAGAACAAAGATGTTTTCAATCATGGAATTTCTTTATAATATTTGTTATATGACTCTCAATTGGTTAATTAAAGCAATGACAAACTTGTGATTTTCCTAGAAGCTTCTAGGGTGAACCGGGTTTACTTGGGAGGCCTCATCTTATTATAAATAGATGAGAGAAGCTTGTAGAGAGAGTGCGTGTAAATTACAAAGAAGAGGAAAAGAATCATTCCAAGAAGAAGAAGAAGGGGAGAGACTTCAAGAATTGAGGGGTCTTAAGATCTTGTATCGAGGTAGTTTCGAGGGAGAGAGAGATCAAGAGGATTGCTCATTCCTCAATGTAAAAAGATGTCTTATAATTCTTCTGTATTGTCTTAGTGATTTGATTGTTGATTCCCTCTTGTGGATGTAGGTCTATGGACCGAACCACGTAATTGGTTGGTGTCTCTTGTGTTCTTGTCTTTATTTAATTCTCTGCAGTTTTCTGTTTTCTTGCTTGTTCTGGTTTTATTTTTCCTTCATCTTTGGCTACAGCCAGCTACAAGAACTGAAAGACTGTCCAATTCTTTAAAGGATTGCAGGTTCTTAGTATTCTTGGTGATCAAGAAAAGTTCAGCTGCAGGATTTCTTTGGAATTATCTCTTGGTGTTCGGTGGGGAAAGATTTACAACAATATTCATTCTCAATTTAATTTTGGCATTTATTTTTAATGATTGACATGCATACAACTCCATTTCTATGTATTTACCTATGCATGAAAAAGTGTATTTTGTTATTTTTAAAATAAAATGTTGGAATTTCTTATCTAATATGAAATATTTGGGTGGTAAGTATAAATCTAATTGTAGGGTATGCATGTTAATGTAAAAATTTAGGATAAATTTATTGGAAAAAAAATCATTCTATTATTAATTGATAATCATTTCATTTTTTTTAAAGTAGCTTTTTATATTGAGAAAAATTAACTTACTTTCCAAACACTTAAATTAGAAACTCTTAACCTTTCATTAAAGTAATAACAATAATAACAAAAAATCCTACCACGAACAGAAGATTTGCATTCTGCAGCCAAGTGGAGTTTCTAGGCTTGAGGTTGGTATCCAACGGCCCAATCTCTTCAAAGTTTCCCATTCCAACACCTGAAGCTCCCTGTACATAAACAGCAACAAGAGAAAAATTTAAGGGAAAAAAAAAAAAACTATATAGAATTAAATATTAAGAAAAAATATCATAATCATTAAATTATTTCTAATATTTTCCCATAAAAATTATGACTCATTTTCTTGTTTAAATAAACTCACTGGTCCTCCTTGCAGCCACAGCACCGTTGGCCATGGCGTAGAGCCATTCTGAACTGCATTGGGACTCAGATATAGCCACCAGAACATATGCGCTTCTGCATTATAAACCAAAAGCAAACGTTTTTTTCATTAAAAACTCAATCTTTCTTCTCTTAACCAGCAAAACTAATTCATTAATTAACTAAAGAGCTGATTACAGAAAAAATAAAGGGAAAAATATTACATCAAGACTACGAACGTAGAGCTACATTCGGATTGCAATAGTTAGAAATATCTCGTTGTGTTACATAAATATTTCATTTGTGTTATTTGTAAAAAATGAAGTGTTATTTGATTATTTTGCGGTGTTATTGAAATATTGAAATATTCTATTTTGCGGTGTTATTGAAATATTCCCCCGCGTTACTTGATTTGAGGCTGTGTTATTCCAATAACATAGTAAAAATTGAAATAACACGGGGAATATGTCGAATAACACAGTCTCAAGTCAAGTAACGCAGAGGAATATTCGAATAACACCGCAAAATAATCGAATAACAACATATAATAATTGAATAATACTTCATTTTTTACCGATAACGCAGCAAAATATTCCTGAACACAGCGGGATGACAGAATCATGATGTAATATTTTTCCAAAATAAAGAAGTCATGTAGAACTAATTACTTGGCCTGACTTCAACATATCCCCACGTTTCTAATCCATCTCTGGTGCCTCCAGAGTTAGCTGAAGTCCTCGGAGATCTTCCATGAAACAAAGGAAAACAGAGGAGGAGACAGAGAAGGCAAAGATTCAATTGTTTCATTGCAAGCAAACGAACAAGATGCGCGCAATCGCAATGGATTGGTAGAAGAACATATGTATGAATCCTTTTATAAGAAATTCATTTAATGAGAGAACAAAAAATACAAAAATGGACTAAATTAATTAATATTCATAAAGGGTTTCTAACGTTGCGGTAATTTGGATGGCGACAAACGTGCGAGAAGAACGAAGTCCATTTAAGTGGGCGGATTCATATGTAAATAAATCATATTTGAACGAAAAAAAATTCTATTTTTTTGCTGTAAATTAATTTAAGAAAGTAGAAAAAATAATATTTGAAGGAGTTTCTGTGTTCGAATAAATGGATAATTTGGGATATCATTTCAAAAGTACATAAATTTCGTGGAGATTTTTAGATATAATACTGTTTTAAATGAAGGATTATGATACAATTATCCAAGGATTGTTAAATAATATACACTTTGAATTCTAATTTTTGAAATTCATGCAACTCTTAGAGAGGGAATTCTAATGCTTCAAAATTGTATTTTTCTAATTATTTTCAAACTTAGATTGAAGAAATTTATATAAACATTCATTTAATTTGACTCAGGTTTTAATATTTGATAGAACTCCAACAAATCTTTATCATCTGTCATGAATTTTGAGGTATAGCAAAGATCTCGAAGTAATATATTGAGCGTGAAATATTCAATCATCTGATTTCATCAAACTTATGGTCAAACTGACCTGCTCAATGAGACAGACCCAATAACATCAAAATTAGTACAATCCAAGTCAAAACAAGCTCAAATCAAGTTATTAAATCACTATTAAAAGTTTTCAGACATATATAGAAGGTCAAACAAATGTCAAATCTAGCAAGTCTATAGTCGTAAGAATGCTAATCCAACTTACTAAAATGTAATACTAAAATGTAATTGCTATAAGAATGCTATAAAAACTCAATAATATTCAAACAACATTCAAAATATATTTTTTCGTTATAATTGATTTTTTTTTTCAGACAACTATAATTTACCGCAAATGGACTTCAAGTTCTGTTGTGCTACACTGAACAAAACACAACCTATATTCATCCCTCTCAGTAACAAAATCACAATATATATTCACAAAAAAGGGAATATCAAACAAGCCCTTCTTTCACATTGAGCCTGCCCATCTCTTTCTCCCATTTCAGTCCAAACATTTGGCGGCCAAAAGGCACCATAAGATTGTACCTCAAAACCTGCAACTTCCCACAATTAGAGAAAAATAACAGAGAAAGGAAGTTAAAAATTAAAATTTAGGTGTTAGATATGTAAATGCATAGGAATTGTTTGGTATATATGTAAATCATAGCTTCACCACTCATGATGATTTCAGAATGATTGATCACCTTGCCATTGATGTCCTTCATCCGCGCCTTAAGATTCTCTGTAATTTGTAGCCATTGATGACCTTCTTCATCTGATTTTTCAGTCCAGGCCTTCTTTAGCGCTGATCTCCACTCTGCAATATTAGATCTGATTTCCTTGTTCAGTTCAACCCACTCAGGAGCGCATCCATTTCTCGAGAGGATTCGATAGAGCGTGTCCTCCGCAGGATCGGCATGAGGATTAGTGTTCAGGTTCAGAGGTTTCCCCTTTCCTGGAAGGTTTTCAAAGTGTCCTTCCTCCATGGAATGCCATATTCTTTGCTCCACCACATTAACTATATCAGTCTCTGACCTGCAAATATACAAAAACTCCCAACTTTTGACAAAACGCTATGAGGTTGAATAAAATTGTAGAAAGATTATATGGCTGATGCATTATTCAAAAGAGGCCACTAAGACCATTACAAAAACACCCAACAAATCAATCTAAATAGTAGTAGTCCGTTGAGAAATTATGGCAAATCGACACAGGAATCACGAACACAATAAAGAACAAACGGATTTAACGAGGTTCGGCACTTTGCCTACGTTCTCGGGAGCAAGAGCGGCGACTTTCTAATTTCAAGAAAAAAAGTACACCCCCTTCGGGTTACAAATACAATATATATATATGTATATATATATATATATGTATGTATATATATATATATATATGTATGTATATATATATATATGTATGTAATATATGTATATAAACCTTCTGCTCCGCTCGCTCGCTCCGTTCCGCTCTAACATTTGTCCCTTATCTGATATATGAGTCATACCTAACCTAGTCCCTTATATAACTCGTAGTGTTGATAGCGTCACCTAGTTACTACAACATGGCTTTTGCATGGATTTCCACTTGTCAACACATCATCCAAAATACCACCATGGATTTTGCTTGTAAATGCAATTAAAAATCTGTTTAAATTACCTCCTATGATCATCCTTCAAATTTCGTCCTGTGAATTGTGGAGCAACCAAAAGTTATCTTAAGGGATCAATGAACAAGGGAGATGTTTGATGAGAAAGTAACAAAAAGGTTGGGTTCTTGAACAAGGTTACTTTCTAGTAGAGGGGAAGTCCGTCGGCCCTAAGAGTTATAGTAAGATGAGAAAACAAAATAAAGACGACAAACAAAATATTTTAAATGGTTCGGCAAGTCAAGCCTGCATCCACAAAAAAGGGAAGGAGAAGGTTCCATTATGGGATGAAGAAAATGATTTAAATCCCTCAGTATAAAGGCTAGCTCAATCTCTTAAGTTGAAATCCATCAAGTACTAGTATGAATTCAATTCGTGTCATGCATATGAAGTCCTGATTATAGGCACCATTAAATGTAAGATTGAGGTGGATAATAATAAGGGGCGGGGTTGATATATTTTGGCAACAATAGGTGTTATGAAAGTAATAGGGATTTGTAATAGAAATAAGTAGTGGCGCTGTAGAGATTCATCAAAACATGGTCATTTCTCATAATGGAAAGGGACCATAAAATAACTCGTGGATGACTAGAGCAGGCGGCGATCCTATTGTAACTTCAAAAAAAGAGAAAAAAGATCTTCAGAAATTCAAGGAAAGAATCTTGCTAGGGAGACCAAAGAATCTAAGCGATAAGGATATGGTTGAAGCTCGTTCATATCTATGTGGCAATCTAGGCGGATATATGTCTACTGGTCAAAAATTGATGAAATGAAAGTAGAAGCAGATTGACCTCCCTTGGGGTTTTCTGAATGGATAGAAACCTAGATTTAGGCCAGCCCAAATCCAGATTGACATTACAAATCCAGCTGTCATGGTTGCATAAGCCAATTGACCGAATCTTCAGTTATGTTAAGGACATGTGGGAGTTGTGCTAAGACGCACGGTCCAGCATGTCACACTTCCCCCTGACTATAAAAACCGTGTAATTGTTGAATTTTAAGCAAAATTCAACATCTTGTGATTGTGCGGCCCTTCTACCTTTCTAAATATTTCTCCTACGTCGAGTTTGTGTGCTTAGCATCAGTGAGCAATCTTTGTGGCATCTCTACAAAGATGCGGGAAAGAAAAAGCCATAGATTAGAGGAGTAAACAGGGATAAGAGTGATAACAAGCTTCCACTCCTTCCGTGCTTGCATCTAGCAATTCATATATGATCATGAATCTTCAAAAAAATGCATATAAATATCATTTCATCATAAAGTGTAAAGGAAAAAAGCCTTATAAATTCATTTACATCAATTTTCATTGTGAAATTAAAAAAAAAAACAAGTTTCATTTATTTTCATTTTTCTTGAGACTCGGTTATGCCTCATGAGTGATCCAAGGTCCTTCATTTAACTCAAAGACCATTTTAACCCCACTGTTTCAAGCAAGCTGTTGATGTTGTGAAAATTATGTCTAGTATCTTTTGAAAAAGAAAGAGTTGAAACCTTATTCTGCTTGACTCGCTTTAATAGTAGTAGCACTCTAGGTCATTCACATTCCATGCCTTGGATGGGTTCATACCTTTGCTTAGCTGCAGTAGATCCACTATTGGTTAGTTTAACTCTTTGGGCATCAATTTTTTCTAAGCACTAAAAAGTTTTTTATTGTACCCTAGAATTGAAGAAGTAGATGATTCTTCATTTGTATTAATTATTTCGACAGAATGTTTCGACCCTCTGTTCTTCAAGCAATTCGAGTGTATTTACTATGCCTTGATCATAATGAAATGTCCACTAGTCGAACTTCCAATCGAATTATTGTTGCAACTTTTAGTCTAGATTAGTTAGTAAAATTAAACTGGAATGAGTTACATATTACTAATGATGTAATCCAACAAATAAGGTATCTCACATATTACTATTGATCGATTTGTTAGATAAGACCAAAGGATTGCTAGCAATTCATTGGCCAAAGGACTCATCTTCCGTCAAACTTTATCTTCGTACATATAAGATGCACTATTTGCTATTTCATCTTGCTCATTCAACTGTGAAAAGCTGACTGAAACAAACTTCAAGTTTACTCAATTTTGTTCGTCAAATTGAATTAGTCTAGCATTGGAGAATAATATGACATTATCGTTTATGATAGCAAAAGGAAAATAAATGAAATTAAAAATATTAGTCCAAGCAATTACTTGATGGTTGTTAAGGTACTAGTAGCTTTTGCCAATAATATGGTTTCAATCCACATGGTGAAATACTTCACTAAGATTAGAAGGAAACGTCATGTTTTGAATACCCATGGAAGTGAACCAGCAAACTCCACCCCCAAATCATAAAAAAGTTAACGCTGATGATGAGATTTTTCTGCAAGAGTTCAAAACTTGTAGACTCTTGCAGTCACCTTTACAGACTTCATCTTGAACACTGTTGCCAAGGTTCGGTTGATTTAGATTACATGAAGAGATAGGCTAATTGATTCAGTTTTTCCTTGAGGGAAACATGCTTAACGCAGCTTCTATAAATTTGCAACTTTTGGCTTGACTTCAGCAACATGATGAAAGAGAATCAGCTCTTAGACTTCATTTTGTATGGCTGACACTATTCTGATTTGCTGCCATAATTTTTTAAGAGCTACTTTCCGAATCATAATTTAAATTATGCTTTTTCTACAAAGCAGCTTTTCTAAATAGCGAGTTCTTTGCGGGCTACTTTTCATCCAAAACAACTCTGCCAAATGTACTGATCTGATCCTCCCCAAAATTGGATAGTTTTCGCTGCCCTCAACAGCAAATACAACAATATTGATCACATTAAGAAGATCTAGAAAGTCATATTCAGGCAAAAAGGTCCCTCCTTTGTTAAAAAAGTGATCTTTTCATGCAATATCACAATGCAATTTACGTCCTTTACATGATTTTTCCTTCTAAAATTTTGACAACTAATTCAAATTTTTTGAGCAAGGAACAACAATAAAGAAAAATCAAAGGACCAGCAGCGCAACAAAGAAAACAGTTGAAGGGAAGAAATATAGAGAAAAGGGAAGAAAACCTGATTGCGTTGCCTCGGCCGCGTAATTCTGGGGGGAGTTTCCTTTCATTGACGGCATCCACCACCGCTGATAAGCGGTAAGTGAGCTTCTTGTGCTGGCTCTGCGCAGAGGAAGACGATGAGCTCAGATTAGAGCATGTGGCGGTACTGGTATTAGAGTAGGGATCGTTCTCGGCCCAAAAGGAAGACCAAATCGAAAGGAGACGAACACGGATGGGAAGAACAGGTGGAGGACGCAGCTGATGACGAGCTAGGAGCGCTCCTGCCATGGCGGGCATGGCAAGGAGGCGCAGAGGACTTCGCTGCTATGTTGGGATGGGACTCTGGAGGCGAGATTTCGTTGCCGCCGCCTGCAATGGGACGGGTGGAAAGGATCGAAGTTTGTGTTGATGGATGGTTGAGATCTTTCAATAGGGAAACGATGCCATATTTTTTTATTTTACTTCCGTCTAAAAATCTCAACTTTTATCCGATTTTATGGTGCTTTATTTTTTTTCGCAAACACTAATCTTTTTTAAATAATAAAAAATAAGAAAATATACTTTTTTAATAAAAATAGTGCTAATTATTTTTATGAAAATTTAAATTAATTTAATTTAAATAAATTTGTGGCAATTAATTTTACTTAAAAATAAGTGAATCCCATATTTAATAAATTATATCATCTATACAATCATAATAAAAAAATCAATTTTTTAAAATCCCTTTGTATCTAAATTTTTTTATTATTTTTTTCCAGCTGAATATATCAATTTAACGACCCAAAATAAATTAAAAAACTAGTATTATTGTTATCTTGTTCTGATTTAAGTTTAGATGAATAAGGAGCTTGATTAATTTTATTTATTTTTTCAGACAACAATGTTGATGAATGTGAGGTTTTTGTTGAATTGCCAATTCTTAATCCATGAAGAGAAATCTTAAGGGTGTCCGCCAGATGGTCGGTGATGTCGTGAAACTGGATTCTTTTCTTGGGTTTTAATTTGTCGAGAGGTAGATTATTGCCTTCGCTCAACTTTCTAGTGGGGGTTAGCTTGGGTGTTGATTTGTCTATTCAGGTTTGATTGCCTTAGACTCGTATCTTTCTTTTTGTCATTCTCCTGGCTTGATCAACCTACGACTTTGGGCTCAGACGCAACATCTGATGAGATAAGTGTCTGATAGCTTAAACGCTTACCCACCAAGGTACTGTCAACTCTGGCCCAGTGGTCTCATGGTTTTGCCCCGTCAATGTAACTTCTCAAGTGGTCACCCATCCAATGATCCACGACGAGAACACTTAACTTTGAAGTTTCTAATGAATTCCACGGTTGCACCAAAATGCTCCTCAAAGTTTAAGATTATTTTTTTTCATTCTATTTAAGGTATTTCACAATATCCCCTACTTAAGTAACTAATGTCCTCATCAAATTTCTTACCCAAAATCACCCACTAGGCAAATAAAATTCTAGAGGTGACTCCCGCCATATAGTGTTTTGTCCCATTTAGGGTTCAAAAAGTGACTCCCATTGCGTAGCATTTTTTTTTTTGGTAGGGAACCTAGTTCCCAACTTTCGTTTGTGTTAACCCGAACTATCACCCATCAAGGTATCATCTACTTTGGTCGAGTGGCCTCACAGTTTTCCCCTATTGGTGTAACATCCCTAAAGGTTACTTATCCTAGGAGAGCTTGAGAACGAGCACACTTAAGTTTGGAGTTTCTAATGAAATTCTACTGTTACACTAAAAGGCGCATCGATGTTTAACAGTTCAACTTTATTCTACTTAAGGAGTTTCACAAAATGGACCTTCTGGTTTTTTGTCAGTCTGTCATTCTTTGTCGTACTTCATTCCATATGGACGATTGGATCCCTTCATGATTCATCGTTTGCACATTCTTTATTATACATTGATATTCTTAATATGCAATCATCCACCAAACAATGTTAAAGCTGACCTTTATATATTTAAGGGGTTGCTCCAATCATACAATAATTTATCCCATGTGGGTTCAAGCGGTAGCTCTCATGGCATAGCATTTTATCTTGTGTGACACTTAATTCCTATCTTTAGGTTGGTATATATAATGCCCTAATACCATTTGTAACAGCTCAAACTCCTATTCATCAAGATATTATGTAGTTTGGCCTAATGGCCTAATGATTTTGTCCATTAGTATAACATCCACGGAGTTTACTCGTCTTAAGAGTGCTCCCACACGAGCATGCTTACCTTTGGAGTTTTTTTATGAAATTTTAATTGCTACAGCAAAAGGCGCATTGATGTTAGAGTCCAGCCTCATCCTACTCAAGGGGTTTTACAATATGATGTATAAACACAAATATTCAAAAGAAAATTTATTGTATATGATTCATGATAAGCAAAATCATTAAATTTTTGTCTTATATTAACTATTTGTGCACTTGTGTTCTGTGTAACTTAGGTACCAGTGATTTAACTATGTGGAGTCTATTGAAAATAATGCAAGCCTTTGATCAAATGATATATCTAGACCCCTCTAATGGTTAGTCATTGAATAATAAGAGGGATAAAGTGATGAAAAAGAAATGTATGATTGGATTTATTGAGACAAAGTAAATCTAATATTTATAATAGGCATTTATAGTTAATATTCTTTGCAATACATTCTTACCATCAAAAATATTTTTATTTATTATATTTTTATTATTCTTTTTCATCACACATACATATAAATATTCTACTATCAACATATTATTCAATTCAATAAAAAATATTAAGAGCCTTTTAAGTTTTCTATCAAAGCCCTTTTTCTCTGTGAGTATATATTTTGAAGGAATTGAAAGAAAGAAAATGGGGGAAAAAGGGATAGATTAACTGGAAATAAAAAGTTCAGTTTTTTTACAGAGATGTTTAGCTTAAGTGCTGATTTTAATGCTTGCACGCAATAAGTTAACTCATTTTGGTAAGAGTTTTTAATGAGATTTGTGGAGCTTCAAATCAATATAACATTATAAATAATGTCTAATTAAATTCAATCAATTGGAGCATGCAGTAAATATTGAACAATTTTACCATATAATTTTCAACTTCGAGCAATCAAATAGCCAGGGGCGGGCTGACGTGGGATCCGGGGGGGCAATTCCGCTCCCCCCTCCCTCAAATTCAAATTATATATATATGGGACGTAGTTTATTCTTTTGTCTCTCCCGAAATATCACTTTGCCCCTCATCGAAAGCACCTGTTCCCTTTCAAAAAAGATGACGGTTCTCACTTTTCACAATGATAAAGTTGGGAATTTGAAATGTCAAAAACAATTGCTCATACTTCTTTGATAATTTCATTTATCTATTATTTTTTTAAACAAAAAAAGGTTAAAATGTATCATTTAAGCATGCATCAATTCTATTTTTACTCTACAAATTATTTTATTTTTAAAAATTTAATCTCAAGTTATTTATAAGATAAGTAGTTGCATCATTCAAATTACTAAATTATTTTTTAAAAAATGGAAATTTACATACCTAGCACACAATTCTCATGTATTTACATGTTTCACATCTAAACTTCCATATTCACATATCATATATGGCACCCTTATGCATGAGAATATGTATTAGACTTTTCAAAATTGATAATAGGGCTATTTTTATTTGATATAGGTGTAAATATCAAAATTTAGGTGTGAGCTATGTAATATAAAAAAATTATGTGCAATTAATGCAAATGCTCCTTTAAGAAAATTATATATATATATATATATA